GCGTGGCTGCGCATGCCCTGTTATGCACTGGGCCATGGGTGACCGCCACACCTACACAAGGAGTTATATGACAACAGAAGGGCTGACTGGCCTCTCTTCCTGCTTGCAGACCTTCTGGAACCCCGTCTACCTGGGCAGCCTTTTGCCAGCATACCTGCTCATGGTGGCCATGGCGGTCTGGGCTTATCATCTCTCCGGAGGCTCCAGAAAGAACCTGCAGCATTTTCTCCTCTGTGAGTGTCATCCCAGCTCCTGCCCTCTGCTCCCCCTCCCCAGTGGGCCGTGGGCCCTGGGGTAACACCCCCCTCCGCCCCTCCAGCCAGCTGGCTCGGCTCTCCCTCCAAGCGCTGCACTCCCATTTCACAGGTCTTCGGACGGCACCCCAGGCGGGATCCTGAGCCTTCCAGCCACGTTGCCAGGAAGCTGAGGCCCCCAGACTCTCCAGAGGGCACCGGGTGATTGTGCCCTTGGAAGACGGGGGCGGAAGACGGGACGGCGGCTGTGGAGACGGCTTCCCTCAAGCAGCCCCAGGAAATCTGTCTGTCCAGTGCTACCGCTGCATCTCCCCTCTGGCTCCTTAGACTTCTTGGGGAGGGAGGGAGGGGGAAAGGGGGCTTGGCTGAGCAGCCAGGTGATCTGTATGGGGCAGAGAAAGGGCCTTTGATCTGCTGCTCTGGGAGGGGGGGGGGGCAGCCAGTCTTGCATTGCTTGAAAGCCGGGAGCAGAAGCTGGAGAGAGAGCTCTGTGACTTCCCTTCTGAAGTAGCACCAATAAAGAGACTGGCTGAAAGCTTGTGTTTGTTGATGGTGGGGAGGGCAGGGCAGGGCATTGTTGTGGCCATAATTCTGCAAAAGGGCCGCCTGCCACCATCATGGTGAGCCGGGCAGGTGGCAGCTTCTGAGAGGGAAGCCATGGAGTCAACCTCACGGGGAGCCTCGGGGGGAGGGGAGTGACGACAGTAGTGGTCGCAAAAGGGCTCCACCACAAAACCACGGTCGACTAAAGCGCGCTTGACGAAACCGCGTACCTGACGTTATCACAGCACGACGAAAAAAGCACGCTGTGAGCACTGAAGCTAAAATTAACCCCGAAACCTAACCCCCCGAAACCTAACCCTAAGCCTAACACTAACCCTTAACCTAACCCTAACNAGAAACACTGAACTATATTATGTCCTCAGCATTTCACTGGTCTGCTAATTCAGTCACTACGTTGAAGAATGAAATAAGATTGGTTTGGCATGATCTGTTTTTAACAAACCCCTGCTGGCTACCAGTTTATTACTTTATTCCTTTCTAGATGCTGGCAGATCTGTTTTTATTTTTATTTTTTCCAGTATCTTCCTGGGTATTGATGATAGGCTGTTAGGACACTTAGGAGCATCTTGTGTGTCTACACACACACACACACACACACACACACACACACACACACACACACACACACACACACACGACAACTTTGAAGCTTGGCCCCACCTCGCCTCTCCCAGAGACAGAGAGGCCACAGACTGGGCCCTTCTGGGGCTGGCAAGGGACCCACAGCCAGGAAGCCTTCTTCTGGGCCAGCCTTTCAGATCCCTGGGAGACAGTGGAGGTCCAAGCCTGCAGGGGGCGCCAGCTGCAGCCTTAGGTGATGCAGAACTCAGCCTGTGCTTCTCCTTCCCTCCCCCAGGAAGGCGATGGAAGGGCTCCTTGCCCTCAGTGAAGATGGCTGCTCCCCCATCTCCATCCAACAGATGGCCTATGGTGCGTTTCCCGAGGGACGGCTCAGGGGTGCCTGGGCAAAGGAACCTTCTGGGGACTCGGGGACCCCTGCAGAGAAAGCGGGGACGGGAATTCCTGGGGTGCTGGGAGGGGAGCTTGAAGGGGGGGCCCTGCTGGTGAGCACATCCCTCGGTCCCAGGAGGAATCCCAGGGCCAGAGTGGACAGGGTGGTGGAGGGGATGTGGCCAAAGGCCCCGTGGGATTGGGGGAGAGGTCAGCCCTCCTGGGCCCTGCTCAGGCCAACGCTTTCCTGTGCCCACAGTGGCCGGCCTGGGGTTCGGACTCATGAGCGGCGCCTTTGCGATGATCAACCTGCTGGCGGATTCCCTGGGGCCTGGCATCGTGGGCATCCACGGAGACTCCCAGCTCTACTTCCTGACTTCAGGTACAGCTGTCCCTGCTTGGGAGGAGGGGGTGCCTTCTCCAGCCCCCTTCCCCCACCCCCCCCTCACTGTCTCTGTCCCCATAGCCTTCATGACTCTGGTGTTGATCCTGCTGCACACCTTTTGGGGCATCGTCTTCTTCCACGGCTGTGAGACGCGGCGCTGGGGGGAGGTGGCAGCTGTCGTGCTCTGCCATCTCACCGTCTCTGCCCTTGTGAGTAGCACCCCTAAAAGTGGCTGTGTCGGGGGGGAGGAGGATGTTTGAGAGAGAGAGAGAGAGAGAGAGAGAACGGGAGCTAGTAGGCTGCAGTGAACATGCCCCCCAGCTGGCACCTTCCAGGCCTGTCTCTGCTCTAGCTGCCCCAATGAATGGACCCATCTCCCCTATGGCCAGGGAGGGTCTTAGTCCTCATGGCATTTTATATTCTGATAGCTGAGATCCTGCCTCCCAAGTGCCCCCTGGGAATCCAGGGCCCCAGGCAGCCCCCGGCAAGCGGCTTACAGGCCACGGGGAGGGGCTGTAGGCAGCTTCGCCTCCTGTGTGCAGCTGTGGTGCCCCTTGACTGGGCCGCTCTCTGGCCTCCGGGGAAGGCAAAGGGCTTCCTGTTTCATTTCCGGGACTCCCCCTCCGGCAGGGAGATGGGGGTAGGAGGCCTCCTGGTCAGAGGCCAGGTGGGAGGGTGTGAAGGAGCAATCATCATGTGATTAAAGACAGCCTGTCAAACTACAATTGCTAATCATCTGCTCAGGGAAGTTCTGTCTATATATGGTCATATCCTGGTCAGGATGTTTTAT